AGAGCTCCTCCTGCACCGAAGCTGGTGACTTACTGTGTGCAGGTCCTAATTAGAAAATCAGCTGAATTAGAAATCTCCTCACCAACTTGGAGCTCAAAGCTTTTGGGATGAACTGACAGGTCTGTTTCATAATGCATATGATCAGCTATACAGTTTCCCACAGGGATCATTAAAGATTCAACCAAATCAATAAATCTTTAACACTGAAGTTCCCTTATTGTCAAACTCATCTTCCATCTGCCACGATGATGGAAGAGAGGACTCTTAAACTGTGTCTGTGTCGTGGTCACTGCGGTGTCCTCACTTTTCTTTTTGTTCCTCCTTTGTGCTTCTAACACTTTTCACTGTTTCTTCTGTGCATCAGTGTCTGAGCCTCCCGCTGTGTTCACTTGTTCTTTTTACTTCCTGTTTTATTATGAAGTTCATCTATTTTTGCTTTGTCCCTTTCAGAGTTTAAGTTTATAAGACTGCTTCCACGTTCAAGCTTCAGCCGTGTCTTGTTTCCCTCTACTTGTATTTCTGCCTCTAAGAAAGCGAAACTCTTGAGCGTCTTGGATCCAAATGGCCAACATTAACATACCAAAACCTGTACAGGGAGAACATGCAAACTCCACATGGAAATGCTCAGCCTGACTTCAAACCCGGCGACACTAATGCCGCGAGCAACACTAATAATAACCGCTGAAAGGCCTGCTACAGTTTCTGCATCCATACGATCCATGCCAGGGTCAGCTGGGGTCTGAGTGATGTAACTTTTAACATCAGATGGTGAGGACGAGACTCTCTGTAGTATTTTGTGATTGTGTAAACTGGCCTGAGCTTATATAAAAGGAACAGGAACTCATCCGTACTGTCAGCAGCTGTCCACGTCCCCGACAAAGCCCCACCTGAGTCACTGTTGTTGTGTTGCTGTGATTTTTTGTATACGGTTAACCTTGTTAACCTTTGTTTTTAATAAAAGGATGTTTTTTAAATGGCAGGTTATCTTCTCTTCTCAGTCTTCCCTGAACTCACCTTGATCTCTTTGCAAGTCTCTCCAGGCTTGAACACCAGCGTTCCTTCGGTGTATTCGTAATCTGATCCAGCGTTGGCTGAACCATCTTCTGTTCTGTAGTCCACATAGAAAGTGTTCTCTCCCAGACCACCTAAACAACAGAAACAAAACACAGTTACACTGGATATATTACACAATATTATTTCTGTGAGCCGTATCTATCTGTACTGTGATGTTCACACTCTTATAAAACCTATATAGGAAGATAAGCTGACTCTCAGTTACTTTTGCATTTATGTTGCTCGTGTTTTTCACCAGCAGATTTTGTTTTCCTTATGATTTCAGAACTGAAGCCAAAGCGCTTTGAGGCAACTGTTGTTGAGATTTGGAGCGATATGAATAAATAAATACATATGAATAAAACTGAACTGAATTTAACTGAAATACATTTATTCAACATATCTAAAGAGGGACTCTATTTTCAATTTGGATGAATTTAGACTTCCTTTTACATGCTAGTGATTGTCTTGGAGTGTCTAAATCTATTCATGACTAAAACTGGAGGTGGAAACCAGACCTTTGTACATAAGGTGTACAAAGGTCGAATGAGTGAGATTTTTAAAAAGGAAACATGAACAAAC